CGGCCCGGGCTGAGCGGCGGGAGAGGGGCTGAGAGGTCCCTGTCGGAGTGGGGGGGGAAGCACTGAGGGAGTTGGGGGTTCTGGCTGTGAGGGGGCTGTGTGGGGTTCGAGGGGTCCCTGGTCGTGAGGGGACCATGAGGGAGTTGCGAGGGGTCTCTGTATTGGGGTCTGCTGGGAGGGGGGGATTGGGGATCTTGGCTGTGAGGTGCTCTCAGTGGTTGGAGGAGGAGGACGGGGACCCTGAGGGAGTTGGGAATAAACAGGGAGAGGGGAGATGCTGTAGTGGAATTGGGGAGCACCTCTGTAATAGAATCTGCTTGGAAGGGCTCCTGATGGGAATTGGGGAGGTCTTGGCTGTGAGGGGACTCTCAGTGGTTTGAGGGGTCCGTGTCATGGTGGAACCTGAAGGAATGGGGGGAGTCTCTATAGTGGGTTGTGCTGGGAGCAGGAAATTGGGGGGTCTTGAATGTGAGGGCACTGTCAGGGGTTCGAGGGATCCCTGTCGTGGGGGGATCCTGAGGGAATTGTGGGTGTATCTGTAATGGAATTGGGGAGCATCTCTGTAATGGGGTCTGCTTGGGGGGGGGTCCCTGGTGGGAACTGGGAGGTCCTGACTGTGAGGGACGTCTCAGGGGTTCAAGGGGTCCCTATTAGGAGGGGACCTTGCGGTGTTGTTGTTCCAGGGGTGTCCTGCTGTGGGTGGGCACTGAGGTGCTGGGGGTGTCCCTGTGAAACAGGGCTGGGGGGCAGCTCCCACTGTGTGGACCCCCGGGCTCTGGGGTGGGGTCCCTGCAGGGACCCCGGGGCTCCACGGTGGGGTCCCTACGGTGTGGAGCAGTGGGTGAAATCTGCTGCCAGCACCACCCCTGATGCTGCTGATTTTGGATGATGTCAGGCAGTGGCACCAACAGAGCTTTGGGCCCCCGGCCAACAGCAAGTTGGCTTTGCTGGGGAAGAGGGCAGAACTTTATTAATTATTGTTAGGTTAATTAGTTATTCTTAGGTGTTGTAAGGGCTGGGAGCTTCACTCTTTGACAAACTGGGGCCAACTGCGAGGTAACAACCAGCTTAGATACAGATGTTGATCACTTCAGTTGTCCTCCATTGTGTCACATCTCCTTTGTCAGCGCTGGCCCAGCTTTGGGGCCGGTGCTGTGACGCTCAGAACTAACCTCACCCATGTGAACATCAAGGATGTGCCTCGGTCATGGCTCTGCTGCACCTGTGGAACTACATTGTTGTGGTTTTGGAGCCAGAGTCTCCACTGGACTGTGGCTGTTTAGTTATCAGTTCATCTCTCTCAGATAATAGACCTGTTACGGGAATTCCTGAGGAGATGCCAGGAGCAGGCTGCTGTCCTGGAAACATATGCCTGCTGTGGGCATATAACAAACCACCCCTACCAGATTCCCAGAGCAGCAGTATTCCTTGCGGTTTCCTGGTCTCGTGCACATCTCTGCAATTCCCGGTGGAATCTAGAACTGATGTTGTGCTTCCCTCCAAAGAGACTCCCGTCAAAATTGGCGCTGCTTGGTGAAATGCCACATTTGTGGGAAGATTGGGAAGCTGTGCTCCAAGTGTGCCCTCAAGTCTTAAAGCTTGGGTTTGCTTCTGTTCAGTTCTGGAGTTTGCAAAACATGGCTAGCAGGATGAACCAGCAGGAATTTGTGGCATCTGCTGGCAGTTCCAAGTATTGTGCATTCCCAAAACCCGGAGCAGCGAGCCAAGGACACTCCTGGATGTACAGCCGTGTTCTGGGAAGGGTGCAGAGATCACCTCTGGCTCTGCCAGTCGGAATGGGATTTGGAGCTGCCACCAGACATGGTTTTTCTCTGCTCCTGCACAGCTTGGTCTGCAGACCCTTTCTGTCTCCTGAGGGTACCAGCTGGGAGCTTCAGAGGCACCCGAGAGGTTGTGGGAGCTCTGCAGCTCCTCTGTGATCATGTGTGGAGCCACTGCCAGGGCATTAGTGGGAGAGTGTAGCTGCAAGCAGTTGTAGTTCCAGGAACTTGAGTCATGCTCCTCCAAGGAAAAGAGAGGACCTCGAGGGCCAGCATTAATTTGTATGATGCTAAGTCGGATTTGAGGAGAGAGGAGAAGGGAAGAAGAAACCAATAATAATTATCAGTAAACCAAAATAGTATTAAATACATTTTAATTAATATAAATCAAATATTATTAAAAGCAGGCTTTTGCCTTGCAGTCCTGAATTGTCATACAATTGTTATTTGAAAGTCTTCACTTTGTGGGAGGGCACTTCCAAACCATGAAGCCAGTTTAAAGTTTCCTTTATTGTAAATTTAGCTTGTACCTCTTGGCCTTTAGTGGTGGGCCTCCCCTGGCGCGTGGGGTTTTTCTGGGGAGGGGTGTTCTTTCTTTTCACTTTCTTGTGAGATATTTGAGTTCCTCCAGTGTTCAAGGAGCAGCCATCTGTGCCTTGGAAAAGTGGAGCTTCGTAGCCTTATTTGGGAAGCTGCTTCCCAGGCAGGGCTCAGCTCTCTCCGCCGGCGCTCACGGCCTTCCCCTGTTGAGCAACATCCACTTCCTTCTGAAAAACTGCACTCAGCAGAGTGATCCACCGGTGAATTGTGGAGCCCAGGCTTTGTAAGGCTTTGTAATGATGGTTTTCCCAAATTTTGGGTCTAACTTTGCTGGGTGAGGTTTGGTGCAAGCTCTGAGGAGGTGCTGGCAGGTGCCTGACACATCACTGAGCCTACTGCAAGCACAGCGGGAACCAGTTGAGTTTTCAGGGAGATACACAAAGTACCTCTTCATCCTAATACCCTAATGTTCCCACCAGCCAAATAGGCTATGAAATGCTGGGTTTGGGTTACATTCTGGTCGAATGCAGCTTTCGTGGATCGATCTGCTGATTTTGAAATATAACGCTGTAATATTTCTACAGAGTCTCATAATAAGGGAATATAATTTATAACGTCCATGTTCATCTTACAGTTACCAAACAGTGTTGCCCAAATCTCTGCAGTTGGGGCACTTTCCCTCTGGCTGTGGTGGGCTGCAGGGTGGCACCGTGCGGGAGCAGTCCAGCAGCAGAGGAGCTCTGAGGGGAGCACCTGGAGATACGTGACAGGGCAAGGTTGGCCAAGCCCTCCGTGTTCCTGCGTGAGAAAAAACTACTGCTTCAGCAAAAATTCAGGGTTTGAAAGAAGGAGAAAGATCAGGGGAATGCAACCCAGCCAACCCAGCTGTATGCCCTAGGAGAACACTGCAACAAATATGTTGCTCATAACACCCAGAAGAACACAGCTACACATATTTGCCACGTCCAGCTAATTTGATTCCCCTTTGGGTGAGCAGAAGTCAGCCTGAGAAATACACTGCAGTCCAGTTTCTCAAACTTTACTTTAGTAAACCTTTGGGGCTTCTTGGTGTCTGTGAAAGTGAAAAAAACTAGCAGTTAATTCTAGTTTTGTGTAGGCATTTGCGGCTGCACCCCAGCAGTCGGGAGTAGTCAGCCTTTCCAGAGCCACTCTAAGCTCTCCCATCCTGGTGCTGCATCCCTCTTATCCCTGCAAGAACTGACTGTGATTTTGAGATTGGTATTTTCACTGTACTGCTGTAAGTTGAAAGCCTGAAATAAAGATTTCTTGAGGCTTTGCAATCCCGTCCTGCAAGAGACCTACAGTCCACAGTGCAAGGAGGAACAGGTTTCTCAGATACTATAAAATGAATATGAAACTGCCTGGAAAACCATTGCCAGGGAACTTGACAGTAGCTCACTGTTCAGCTGAAAGAATTTATCAAGTCCCTTGTTTTGGCTTGGATAATGGAATCGAGAATGTGCTTATTGAATTTGCAGAGAGTACTGAGCTGGGAATGGGTTTGGGAACTTTGAAGAGCTGGATTAGAGTCAAAACAAACTCAGCAGATTGACCCAATGGGCTGAACGAAATCTGATGCAGTTCAGTAAGGAGAAATGCAGAGATTACACTGAGGTGAGAACAACTGATTGCATGAAAATGGAATGAGAAGGTCCAGGCCGTGTCCTGTGGAAAGATGAGGTGAGCAGCAAGAGCCACCGGAGCCCTAGTGCTGATGCAGTTCCAGTTCTTCAGACTCAGTTTGTGGGAAGGAGCAGGCAGCTTCAGCTGGGTCTCACATGAGGTTTTGCCCTGTCTGTGTTCATGCCTTCATTTCAAACTGTCCCCCAGGGTTGAGCTTGAAGTGTTCTACCTCTTGCACCAGGCAAACTGTGTGCAGGAAACTTGTAGTGACACTACAGATGTTTTTAGGAAGCCAAAAATCTTTCCCCACAGTCGGTTTGTCGCTGCTTGTGATGCTCAGTGTTTGCTGACAGCGTGCAGCATCACAGCTGGTCTCAAGTCATGAGGTTACCGATGCTCCAGAGGGCCCCTGTGCAGCTCCTCTGTGATGTTTCTTTCTCAGGAGGTAATTCTTCACCTTTTTGCAGGTGGTGGAGCTCAAGGTTTCCTTGTCAGGTGCTTCCTAAATCTCCAGGATTGCAAATTACTCTTTGGAAAGCATGGCAGGAGAAGGAAGTGGACAATAGCCTCAGGCCTTCCCTTTTAGTTTCCAAGAGGAATTCTGGGGTGGTATCTCTGTGGTATTGTTTTGTAGCTTCATTGTGGTTTGTGTTCTCTGAGTTTCTGTTTGCAAGATAAGTTGCTAAATGTGTTTTTAAACTCGCTCTGTAGCATTGATACTCATTTAGTCATTTTGATATAGATTACATCCCAAACAAGATAACCAGCATAATCTGCTTTCATCTGCTGCAGTGACCATCAAAGGCTTTTATGGATTCAACTCAGAACCTTGCATCTTTCTAAATTAATTTTTGTTAACCTTGGACCGTTTCTGCATGTGAACAAAGCCTAATTTATATGCACAGCGTGGCCTAAGAGCCAGACAGTGACTTTAGTCTGGGCCCTGCTTTAGGACATGATTTTCTTTATGTATGCCTTTGCTTTCCTCTCTCTCTGCATTATCTCTTCTGTCAGTAACTGTTTTTAATTATCAATTTTTTCCTTGTCTGTCTGCACTCAGCAGCCTGTTTACCACGACCAGGTTTCGGAATGCTCACCACTTCCTGCCAGAGAGGTAACTCAGTGCCCAAGTTACCTGGGGAGAGCAAACAACACAGAGCTTGTTCAGATTGTCCCAGCTTTGATGTTTTGAGCACTGTGTCCCTGTGACTGTTGGGGCTCACGTTCTTCTTTACCCGCTGTCCATCGGGGGAGCAGCTTCCTGCATCTGCTGAGAGCTCCTTTTATCCACCAACTCCCAAGCGATTAATCTTATTTCATAAGGAAAAAAAAAAAAAAACCAACATACTTTCTTCTGGCTCTGGGAATTCTTGCTTGAACATGGAACCCCTTTGGGAAGAGGCCAAGCTGGCTGGCAGCTCCCTGGCTATGAATCCTCCGTTTGTGGCCCCACAACAGTGCCCCGGAAGAGCACGGTGCATGTTTGTGGAAGTGGCCAAGCGACTGTGAGACCCAGGCTGCTGGAAACAGTGGGCATATTATAGCTAGAAAAGGCAATTTCTCTGCCAAATCTCATTGTGCAAAAGGGTTTATTCTTTAGCCTTGCAAAGATTTTGCTATGTTGGTTCCTTTTTCACTCGAGCTCTGAGAATTGAGAAAGAGGTGGCAGGGCTGCCGTGGAAAATGAGCCCTCAGCTCCTTGCCTTACCAGGACGGAGCTCTGCTGCACTCAGATGTCCAGCGTGCATGAAAGCAACCAGCTGGCATCCTGCTCCTCCTTAACGTGTTAGATTTCCCTGTTTTTCTTATGCTTTGCACACTTTTTGACATATAATCTGGCTCAGTAGACCGTGATGCGTAGCGCCAGGAAGCAAATGTGGAGCTTGCTTTGGGTGTGATACTAAATAAGGTATTCCTTGCATTTCCTGAGGAAGAAAAAGAACATCTGTGTGGAGAGACATGTTCCTGTAACAATGGTGGGTTTAGGGTGCAGAGCTTTCTCAGATTATTAAGAAATGATTAAGAGAGTTCGGTAAAGACCACACAGACCCTGTGAAATAAAATACCTTTCTGTGTGGAGCTGCTTTTCCTGACTGCCAGGAACACCTCCCTTCCTGTTCTTGGAAAACAAGGGCCTGGCTGAAAGGCTGAGCTAACTGGGCTGACGTCCTCCAAGAAATGTTAAAGACCTTGTGGTTGCTGCAGGATATTGTGTCATCAGCTACTGTAACACTTGCCTGGCTGAAATAGCCTTCCAGCTACCGGAACAAGCCATCCCAGGGCTGGCTCAGAGGTGACAGGAGAATATTCCTCTAGGCTGTGGAGAGCAGGAGATCTGAAAAAGTCTGTAAATCGTTTTCCCATTTGTGTTTAATTCCTACTGAAAAAGAAGGGTGAAGAATTGTAAATGGGACTGATCTGCTGGTTCTGCTTGATCCTCCCAGCCTGTGTCCTAACCGGGGAGCTGCAGAGCTCCTCCCTTCCCGGGCATGAAACCCAGGGTGGGTCACTGGCAGGGTACTCTCTTGAAAGGCAGCAGGTGTCTTGTTCCTTAAATCAAAGGTATGAAAACCCAGACAGCATCTTCCAGCTTCACTGGGATCAATCTTAGATGTGTCAGAGGAGTTCTGGAGGCTGCCTGAACCCTGGGCACAGTCAGCTCTGAGATGGACCATCAAAGCATCAGGCACTGTGTTACTTGCACAAGCCAGAACTAGGAGATATTTTGGGGGAGCTCAAGGGTTCTTCCTTCCTCCAGTGCTGGGAGCTTCTCTGGAAATTCAAGAGTGGTTTGCAGTGTGTGGTGAGGGAAAGGAAATAGATTTCTAATGTGACTTTCCCCAGTTTTTCCCTGCCCAAGAGCAGCATGCATGTCTGTAATCCCAGTGTGTCTGTGCTCTCTGCTGTGCTGCAGGTGGCTGCTGTGGCGCTGATGAGAAGCACTGTTTGTATGGAGGCTGGGCTTGGGCTTGGTGGTGCATTACTGACACCCAAAGGTAAGGAGACCCCCGTTATTTGTGTTTTTTTGGAGTAGGAATTAGGCAAAGCCATCCCAGTGGGGCTGACAGCAGTATCTTTAGGAACATGGGACTGGGCATGAAACCGTGGATGAGCATCAGAGTTCTTTGCTGACTGTTTGCATGGGGACAGCTGTGTGTACACAGTGCAAAAGACACAGAAGAAGAAATCCCATGCTTTCAGCTGAAGTACTTTTCAAATGGCCTCTCTGTCCACACCTCTCCTCAAACCCAGGGTGATCATGTTTGTTTGTTTTTTTTTTTCCTTTTTAGTTGTGTTTTTTGGGTTTTTTTTTTACATAAAACCCACCAAGCTGAGAGAACCATTGCCTGACTGGTCAGTGTGTTTCTTCCTGTGCTGGTGCAGTGAGTGCTGAAGAGAGAAAGAGCTCTGCTGACCTTCCCAGCTCTGAGGCTCTGGCAGAGGTGCTGGCAAGGGCACTGGGTTGGCTCATCCATGAGTTCACAAGAGGAGCCAAGTTCTGCCCAGTACAGCCCAACCCCTCACCCAGTAACAAACGTGTTTGTGGCCTGCAGTGCCCCCTCCTGCTCCTCAGGTCTCTCTTTCTGAAGATCTGCTAACTGCTCTCACCTTGGGAGCAGATTGTTCCGATTTAAAACCACGGGACTGCCTTTCTCTCCCTTTTCTCAGGAATTGGAATTGGCTTGCTCTCCCTTTTCTCAGGAATTGGAATTGGCTTGCTGCTGCTTACGGTCTGGTCTCTGAGCTAACATGCTGTGGTAGTGCTCCTGTCCTGCTAATACAGCTCTTTGTCTCTAGGATCTGTAGGGGTGCCAACTCTCTCCAAACACATCCCTCATGCTCACCAGTATAGGCTTCCTCCATCTGTGTAAAAAAAATAACAGGGCAAAGGATGAAGATGTGACTTCTGGGTTTTGCACTGAGTAATGGGCAGAGGTTGTAGTTAACCCTTACTGCCTGGTCTTCAAACCTCTTTTCCCTGTTCATGTGTTGTCACCAGCAGACAATTGAGCATGTTGCTGCCCTCACTCTGAGGATACCTGGGAGTCATACACCTTTCCTTGTTCCAAGAGGGCCTGGCTGCTGCCGTGTTTAATCCAGACAAGCTTCATTCCCAAATTTTTTGTGAGATATCTTGTTGGGAGAGCTGTTAATTGAAAAAATGGTTCCTGCTCCTACTCTTCTTATGTGAGAAGTGCAGAGAACGATGCGGGACCTTGACCTGCTGAGTGCAGGAGATAAAAGATTTGGGAGGCTGATTTATTAAGGATAGGCTGAATCCAGGGCCAAAACTGCTTGCCAGGAATGAGCTGTTCCGTGGGGGAGAGATCTGGTCATTATTTAGCAAATGGGGCTCTTGACAGAAATTCCAGCACCCAGACAAATCTTTTACTTTAAAATCTATACTCACGGTTCACACCACGGGATATGGGGCTTAATTTTCCCTTCGAAAACAGAGCCTTTCCCACATGCCATAAGCTGTGCCCCAGATGGAACCCACTGCATTAACATGAAGAGTGAGGCAGATTTCCTCCTCCGAAATTAGGACATTTTTTCTGGAACTGCCAGTGCTGCGAGCAAGAGAGACAGCAGCAATTGTGTTGCTGTCAGCGGCGTCCCGCCAGGTAGCACTAACCTGGGAACAAAAGGAACAGTTAGAGCTGGCAGGGTGCTGGGCACTTATCCTGCTGCAACCTTGAGCACTGGGGAAAAAACAAGGAAAACAAAATGCTGTCCTTGTTTAGGGATCAGAAATAAAAGCAGGGAGAGAGACAGTGTGGTCTAATATGCCTCTGGGGGAGCCAAATGGTGTTAATTCAGCTTCCCAGGACAGCACTTGGAAGCAGCTTCTCTCGTCAATACCTTAGCCAGGGGTGGGTAGCGAGGTCCCCACCATTTTCATTTTGTCTGGCCTCTCTTAAATATTGACATAGAAATGAATTTTCTGTGTGCAAATATTACTTCAACAGAGAATTCCAGCTGACTTCAGCCTGGCTGTCCAGGTGGGATAGATGGTTCAGTTTTGTGTGCAGGGTGGAGATGAGACCCCAGCCTGCCTATCCTCAGTAAAAGAAGCAACTTCATAGTATAAACTCCCCACCAGAACTAGGGAAGCTGCTCTGGCCCATCATTACGGAGCCCTGGGAGTGGGCAGTGGGAGAAAGGCAAACTGAGCAGGGAAAAGCTGAAACCTGAAAGTCTTGTCCGTCCTTTGCAACGGGTGTCTTACTCTCTGGTAACTGCTTTGTGTATTTGCTGTCCTACCCTTATTCCTCGCTGCTCAGAGTGTCTTTGGAGGTTATGGCCATCCTCTGTCGCTGTGAGAATGTTGAGATGTTGGAGGGGGTCCTACTGTACGTAACACGGGCTGCACAGGTAATAATCCACCAGCTTCCTAACACACTAAATGTTTTGTCCCTCTGTTTTGAGCAGCAGCAGCAGCCACAGGATAACATAAAACAGAAATCTCAATACCTTCCTCTCCTTCCCCCTTCTCCAGCACTTGCCCTGAGGCACTCCACAGTTTATAGGTAGTGCAGACAGGTGCATCCTTGGCAAATTCCAAATTCAGCATTGCTGTACCTAACATTTGCTCCTGCTGTAACCCTTTCCTTGCCAGCACTGTTTCCATTGTGGGCTTGGTGGAGAGGAGAAGGGCATCTGCTTTTGTGTGGGGGCACAGGCGGGCCGGGTTGGATTCTGTACAGGATTTGGGACAGGTGGGAAGGCAGGCTTTGTGCCGTTTCAGAAGGAAACCTGTACACGTGTAGGCAAATTTGCAACCATACCTGGCTCTGCAGTTTTGGCTATGGATTTCCACTCAGCCCTTCTTCCTCCACGTGGAGACAGTGCCTGTTTTGGATGTTGTCATGTTTGAAAGTACAGCACAGAGACCTCGGATGAGCGGCAGCACACAGGACTGGCATCAGCACTGTGAGCAGTTACGAGCCTGCAACAACCCAACATCCTTGTGAACTGCCAGCTAAGCAGCAGCACAGCTTAGAAATCAAATTCAAAGTGTAGATGAGGTTTTCAGAAGGCTGAAATCCCGCAGTATGTGATTAAAGCTCTGAATGCACATGGCAAAAAATGTCTCTGCACGTCCCGGACAGTGGGATCTGTTTTATCAGCTCCCAGTTTGCGTGCCAGTTTAATTAGGACAGTGGCCAAGGCAGGCATGGACTTGCAGGGATAGGTTTCGGCACTTCCAGCCAATCCTGGAGTGACTCAGCTTGCATGCAGCAGCCCAGGGCAGCCCCTTCATGGTTCAGATGTTTGACCTAATGTTCACTGACACAAGCTCTCTGCCCTGTGGCTCCCTGTCCTGACTCCCAACGCCTTTCCGGCTTGTTATGTCTGACACGGGAGCTTCCTGAAACGGAGCCTGCCATGGCCAGGCATGTCTCTTGTTTTTACAGATTGTGACCTGCAGACTGCTGGGTCTGACCCGAGTATCTCGTGCCCACCTGGGGGGATTGAGAAAGCTCTGGAGCTGCAGGATGTGTTCCTGGGTGCCTGATGCTCTACAGGCCTTGGCCTTGAAGAGCTGGAAACTCATTTCTATTTGCCTTTGGATCACGGGACACTGGAATAATAGGGGGAAAGATGAACTAAATCAAGGGGTGAGTGTGTGTAACCTGGAAACATGTAAATATTTTACATTTTTTGGCAGGATTTCCCTAGAAATAATGACGTTACAGCCCAGGTATGAGGACATAGAGACGGCAGGGGGGGTAGCTATAACTGTCACAGGTGTGGCACAGGTACAGTAACTCCAAAACATCATTTCAGGAATGCATGTCTCTAACTTACCTCTGGTTTTGCCCCTTATGAGGTTACTGTTGTTCAGGGGGAGAAGCCAACTGCTCTGAAACAAATCCTTGTGCAAAACCACGGTGTCCTTGTTGGTTCAAACACACGCCATCATGTCCCATGTGGTGAAGAGGGTTGTGACCTCTCCCTCTCTCCCCATAATAATTTTTTTCTGGTGTCTCATTTGTCCCTGTGGCAAATGAGGTGTGTGGGGGTGACTTGATGTGTTTGTGGAACGCTGATGTGCCACAGTGCCCTTGGAGCTGTGTGTGACCCCACTGGACTGAGCTGTTCCCTCCAGAGGTGGCATCAAGCATTATATTGCTTTGGATTATTATTGTTAGCACGTGGACCTTGCAATTCTTCACGGTGAGTTAAAGCTTAAAAAAATAACTTAGTCCCTCTAGGCTCTAAGATCTGTGTGTGAAATTTCTGGCTTGAATTGAATTTTGGTTCTCTCCAACCTTCTTCAAATGTAAGAACCAGCTCTTGCTGCTTGTGACAGCACACTGAACCCTGCTCTTCTGGGAGTCTGAGGTCTGCTGCCCTAGTACAGGCTGTCCTTGTGCTCAGGTCCTGCCCTGGGGAGGATGCTGGGAGGGAAATGTTAGCTTTTGAGGGAATTTGGCTCCGTGAATAAGCAGCTGGAGGCTTCAACTGAGAATTTCTCCTGACAGCTCATTCTGGGTGTATAAACCAAGAGTGGCTCTCAGTGCACACAGAGCTGGGGTCACTGTGTGTCCAAGGCATGTCCATGTGGGTTCTCACAGGAGAGGTGGCTGCCACATTCCCTGTGGGGAACTCTGGAGCTGAGGGCAGCTGCTGAGTGACACAGTGATGTGATCAAAATCCCTGATGGCTCAGAAGGCTCCCCCAGGGAAGACCACTATGATGCTACTGCAGCCCATTTGAGACAGAGCACTTGACAGATTTCCCCCAGTGCTCCCAGAGCAGCAGGTTCCTCCTGGCTTCATTGGTTTGCTCTGAGCTGATGCTGCAGGGGAGCTGTGTTTGTTTGTATGTATGTGAGGATTTGGATTCGGCCAAGAGCAGTTTCTGGATTGCCACATGTGACAGGAGGGCTGGGCATGACCGTGACTCAACAGCAGATAATCCATCATCCTCCTGCTGTTGGGAAACAGGGATACATGCAAGAGCACCAGCATGGGAACCAGCATCTTGGGCACGTCCTGGCACTGGTGATGTGAGCCAGCATCCTTGGTTTCATCTTATCAGTACTATATATCCACCTTTTAGTTCTTTTCCAGTCCTTTATATCCATGTAGCTGCTAAGGTGTCACATAACCCCGGTGATCTTTGCATGGTTGGCAAAGTGTGTGCACCCATGTCTCCCTTCACACTCATTTCCTAAATCTATGCGCTTTTCCTTCTGTTTCTGTGAAGGCAGCATTCCCTTTTGTCCGTAGTTTTTGGGACATGCCTGCCTAGGCTGGGTGGTGTGTGTTAGCAGAGAGCTGAACCACCAGGTGCCTTGGTTCAAAAATGCAACTCCCAGTTCCTCTCATTCATATTACTCTCTCTTCCCACTGTTCATTTTTTCCTCTGTTGGTTAATTTTAAAGGTGAGAGGCAAGGAATTGCCACGTAGAAAGCAGACTTGAGGCTGTTGGGGATGTGCATGGCGCAGGTTACCTTAATTTTGCAGAAGTACTTTTGAGGCAAACGTTTTTCCTTTCAGAACTTGAGCAAAAAAGGAAATCAAATTATTTCTAGAGAAAGAGCTTTTGGAGTGTTTGCTGTAATGATAGAAGTGCTTAATGTGCATAAGGATGCTGTTCTTTTCTTGAAGAGGGATGTAACGAGTGCTCACCAGTAGCCTCCTTCCAGTGCTGGCTGGGTGCTGGGATGTGCTGGGATGCTGCTGCCTTAGGCCAGCACATCCTTCTGTACCATTTTCCTGAGCCTCGGGCTAATTGGATTGTCTCGACTGGCCCCACACTGCGAGTGCAGCTGGCTGGAGCTGGAGCGGGGTGCGGCAGTATCGATCCTCCACACCGGATTGCTGGATGGAGGCTCTGATTCCCTGCCAGCTGAGTCCTCTCCCTCTGATGGGAATGACATTTGAAGAAGCGCCGAATGTCGCAGTGCCCTGCCTGAAATCCTGCAAACACGCCGAGCACAAATTGCTCAACCCCGGTTTCTTTTGTGCAGCCTTGGCTGTGGAAGGTTGGTGTCCGCATTCTGCGCAGAGCCAGGCTCTGAGCTGTCCAGGGCTCAACAGTTTAGGCTGGCTGGCTTTATTCAGAGGCTGAACCATTCCTTGCTCCTAAGTACCGCAGGGATTCTCTTAATGAACATCCCGCTCCGTGCTCTGTCCTCCCCGCAGCTCCCGAGGGTGGGAATTGTTTAGAGAGGTGGAATTGCTGGCAGATGCACACCATAAATGTTGCTGCTGAGTCTAATTGGTTTTGATACTTGCAAAAACCTCGTGGAGGGCTCACGCTCCCGGGTGCAGCTCCACAGCAGCTCTCCCAACTCCCCCTTGTGTGGGAAGAGCACACTGCTGGGTGCAGGGACAAGAAAACTGGGGCCTGACCCCATAAGGATCTCAGAGGTTTTGGGACAATGCAGAAGAGGATTGCCATGCTTAGCTGTGATTCAGTCTGGCACTTTGACTGAGAGGTCCCACCTGGGAAGCAGCATTGGGAAATAGGGTCAGCCCAGGTCGATGTTTCTTCATGTTATGAGGGACAGAGTTGTGGCAGGTAAGTCTTGGCCAGCTTGCCACATTTAATAATGCCCACCTTCTGTCCTCTTAGAAGGTGATGATCAGTCCCAGTTGTCCTGCTCTCTGGCAGAGAAGGGGCCAGGTGCTGCTGTTTGGCTCCAGAGGGATCATATTGGATGTGTGAGCTGTCAAACAAGGCTTTCTCAAGAAATAGCTCTGTTGCTTTTGCCAGCTGAAAGCGCTCTTATAGGTGTCAGGATGAGGTCTGTAGGCTGTGAACCCCTCAAGAGTGTGAACTGGGACCCTCAGAGGTGCACCTGAGGCTTTGGAAGTCTCTGAGCCAGGTCCAGCCAGGGCCCTTGGGGCAGGACATGGGGTGCCACCAACCCCTCATGGGACAGGGTGCTTCCTGGGTGCCCAGCCCAGCTGTTTCCATGAGAGGGTGCTGTGGGACTTGGAGATCTGTGTGGCTGCAGTGGCACTGCTCCCTTCTCTGGTGTTACCAGGCACAGGGACACCGCTATGTCCAGGCTTTGCCTGAGCCCTCACACTGGACATGGCCACCAGGAGCTGTCACCTTGGTGGGTTGTAGCTGCTCGTAGTTTTGTGCCGTAGAGGTCTGTGAGCACAGATCTCACTGCCTAACACACCCCACAGGGATCTGTAACCCACTTTGCCTTTAAAAAGCAGCCCTGTGACCAGCAGGACCGTGGCATGTCTGGAATGGGGATGCTTTTAAACCTGGCTCTGACTGTGGGAGGTGAAAGAGGTGGCTGTGTCCCATCTCTAGGGATCACGACCAGACTGACCGTGCGGAGCAGAACAACCAAGTCCTGGCCGTGGCACGTTGGGGACACCTCAAAGGACAGCCAGGAGCTCCTTGCCACAGGCAGGACAAACCAGTGTGCTGTGACCATATTGTCTCATATCTCCTTCCAGGGAACACTGAACGGAGCCCCTGTTCCCAAGCTGTTCCTTGGGCACATCAGACTCTTTCTTGTTCTCTGCCTTTCCTGACTCAGAAAAATTAATTCTAGTGAAGGAGGAGGAAGAGGAAAATAATGAAATGGGCTTTGGACAGGGGTGGTAATACCAAGCCCTCTCCTGGCTCTGGTGTTGATGCAGTGGCTGAACTGGTAGTTCAGGGCTCTTGGTAGGGTTTCCATCAGATGGGACAGGTAGGGCTAGGCTCTGTCCCTGCTGCTGTGGGACAGATGGCTGCAGGGATCACCTCTCCATGCTGAGATGCCATCAGGGTTTGGAGAGGTGTGTGCCCTGGCCACTGGTGTGTGCCTGCAGCAGGGCTGTCCCTTGCAGCATGAGCAGGGGCTCGCTGACTGGTCCAGTGCCCTGGCTCAGTGTGGTGACAGCTCAGCGTGGTGACAGCTCAGCGTGATCCCTTGAAGCATCAGTAGCATGAGGACCTGGCAGCCTGCTGCTGCTTCTGCTGCTGCTGCTGTAGGGTGCCTGGACAGGCACTTTCAGTCCCTTTGGTTTTGTCTCCTGTCTCTAGGTGAAGATAATGACTGAGAAGGAGCTCCTGGCTGTGACCTGTGAGCAGTTCTTGGGGAAGAACGTGCAGGATGTGAAGAACGTGGTCCTTCAGACGCTGGAGGGACACCTGCACTTCATCCTAGGTGCGGAGGCGCTCGTCCCTGAAGGCATCTCAAGTGGCTTTGTCCCTCCTCAGCTGGCTGGTCCCAGCGGTATCGCTGCCACTGCAGCTGCCACACACGACCTGCCTCCACTGACTGCAGAGGTGGCATCTCCCCTCCAGCAGCTCCTGCTGCGTGCTGTGATAAATGACTTTTCAGTGCCTGCAGTGAGAGATGTCTGAGTCCCTCATGGCTTACAGGTAGCGTGTGTGTGGGTGGTGGTTGTGCTTGTCAGACTGAGATGTTGGTGCCACTGCAGGGGCAGAGGATTACAGCCTTGTGCCCAGGCCTCAAGAGATAAGGGACAACAAGGATGTTGCTGAGCTTAGACCCACATCGTTGTGCATTACCTGTTCCAAATAAAGTGCTTACCTTCCTTCCCCCTGCAGGGACCCTGACGGTGGAGCAGATCTACCAAGACAGGGACCAGTTTGCCAAGCTGGTGCAGGAGGTGGCAGCCCCTGACATGGGTCACGTGGGGATCGAGATCCTGAGCTTCACCATCAAGGTACACTCAGACATCGAGTGCTGCACTATGGGCAGAGCTGTAGGAGCAGCAGGGCAGAGCCTGGCTCCGGCTCCTCCGCCACAGCCGGCTGGAAGGCTCCGGCTGACAGCCTGCCCCAGCCCTCCGGGAGTTTCCATGACAGCCGCCGCAGCATGTCCTGTATCCAGGCAGCTGGGCCAAGAGCACCGGGTTAGCTGCCTCTGTAAACAGGCTCGTGGAGGGAGCTGGCTGATAACCCAGCCTCCAGGGAGTCGAGGGAAGATGTCGGCAGAGCCCGCCTCTCCCTGCCCTCCCTGTTTGTTTGGAGCAGCCGACATGGCGCGTTCTGACCTCGGCCTGACCGCATGAGTGGCTGCCCAGAGCTCCAGCGGGGAGGGAGCAAGACGGAGTCGCTCGTTGGAAGTGGTTGTGACTTATCTCCCCTCCCCAGGATGTCTGTGATAAAGTGGATTACCTGAGCTACCTGGGGAAGACTCAGATTGCAGCTCTCCAAAGGGATGCAGACATTGGAGTGGCAGAGGCTGAGTGGGATGCTGGCATTTGGGTGAGTCCAGAGATGTGCCAACCTTCCCCAGAGCAGCCTGTTTAGCCACAACTGCATACCCTGAAGCTCTGCATTCTTTTCCCTCTCTGCAGGAGGCAGAGTGCAAGAAAGAAATGCTGGATGTCAAGTTCATGGCAGACACCAAAATAGCAGATTCCAAACAGGCTTTTGAATTGCAGGAAGCTGCCTTCACTGAGGAGGTCAACATTGAGGTGAGGGTGTCCCACAGCCCAACGCTGTTCCCTGGAGGCTTTGTGATGGTGTTGGTGGCTCTGGGGCTTGTCATCTTCTTCCTCCTGCATCTGTTAGGACAGTTGGAAGTGGAGAACCCGGGACTGTGTCACTGTGTGAACTTTTGCAACAGATTCCTCTCCTGTTTGCAGAAATTTGGTGGAACTAGGAGGAGAGGGTGGGGAGGGTCATCCAGGCTGAACCTGGAGCTGGTTGGGCTCAAGTGGTGTGAGAAAAGGGCACAGAGAAGGACAGCTCTGAGAATTGAGATGTCACCCCTGCGAAGAGGTTCAGTAGCAGGAGCTGTGTCTGGTTTTAGGTCCTGCCGAGGGTCTTTATGTCTGTGCACAGGAGTTCATGGCCCAGACCCCTCTTCTCTCCCTGCTGAGGCCCAGCTGGCCTATGAGCTGCAGAGCGCCCAGAAGATCCGTCAGGAGGAAATCGAAATGAAGATGGTGCAGTGCAAGGAGCAGATCGATGTGGAGGAGAAGGAGGTGATCCGGATGGAGAAGGAGCTGATGGCCACTGAGGCAGCCGGCCCAGGCCGAGGCCTATCGCACTCAGCAGATTACCGAGGGAGAGAAGTGAGTGAGCCTGTGACCTGGGCTGGGAGCACAGTGCTACCCCAGCTCATGGGCTCTCTGCAGAGATCTGGGCTGCTACAGCACTGAATTTCCTTTTCCAGGGTGAAGCAAATCCTCCTTGCTCAGGCGGAGGCAGAAAAGATCTGCAAGATCAGAGAAGCGGAGACTTTTGTGATCGAGGTCATCGGGATGGCGGAGGCTGAGGGGCTGAAGCTGAAAGCAGAAGCACTCCAGCAGTATGGAGAGGCTGCCAGGCTGGCTCTAGTGCTGGATGCACTGCCTGAGTGGGCAGAGGTGGGTGGAGGACCAGCAGGACACTGAATGGGGACAGGTTCCTCCTGTACAGCTGCCTGGGGACCAGTGGCCCTGTGGCCGGCTGCTGGCCAGGGGCTGCCTCAGCTGGCAGTGCAGGAACCCCTGCCTCATTATCCCTCTCATGGCCAGTGGCTTTGCTGCCTTGTGACAACGTGAAAGGGGCTGTCCCCTCTGTGTGTCCGTCCTCCCTGCAGTGCCACCAGGGCCCTGCGCTGGGCCATGTCCCTTCCCCACCTGCCTCGATGCCTGTGCCTGGTGTGGCTGTTACAGCCAGACCCATGTGTGAGGTCAGCCTGCACTGTGGTGGGGTTTTGGGGATCCCTCCACTGGCTCCTGCACCCCCAGCTTGGTGCTGGGGGTGGGTGCCTCCCCGCCCTGCCAGCAGTGCCCCTGGGGACGGCCAGTCCCTTTGCTGGGAGTGACACACTGCAGGGGGGTGGGTGCTGCGGGGCCCCCCCATCCCCTCCCCATTGCCAGGGCGGGGGGACCAGTGTTATCAGCCCCCGGCTGGTGCCAGCCCGTGGGCGGCGGGCGCAGATCTGGCTCTGTCCAGGAGGCGTGCCGGGCCGGGCCCCTGTATCTGCCTGTGCCCGCGCCCGCCGCTGCGAGATAATAAACCTGTGTCACCTCCCGCCTGGGCTCTGTCTCGTGCCTCGCGCCCGCCTCTCCTGCCCCAGGACCCCCAGGACTGGGATGGCTGGGGGCTGCTGGTGTTCCCAGGCAGGTGTTCCCGCTGGGATGGGGGAGCAGTGGGTGTGCGGAGGTGAGGTCCTGGCTCACGCTGCTCCTGCAAACCCGGGAACTGGTGACCTCCCCACGGTCACTGTGCCCCCGTGGGCTCCCTGCCCCAGAACTCCGTGGGAGCAGAGCCTTGTCCTACCCCTGCAGGGGTGAACATGCAGGCAGGAGCCACCGAGGGTGGCTGGTGAGTTCCACTGCATGACCCCTGTTTCCCTGGGGGTGCTGACCACTGCAGGGGCACCCCAAAAGATTGGCACCCCAGGGTTTGGGGCACGGCTGACATGGATGGAAGGCTCTGTCTGTCACAGCAACCAGGCTGGTGGCAGCAGCTCATGTCCCCCTGTCCTGCCACAGGAACCTTCTTCCAGCCCCAAACACCCTTTCCTGTGCTGGGGGCCAGCTGGGTAGCTCTGAGGGTACCTGTTCTACTTGGGGTCACCCTGTGAGCAGGAGCAGTGACAGCCAGCATGGGGACGCCATGGGGGACTTTGCTGCAGTGACCTCCCAGGGGTAAAGATGGTTTCTCTTGCCTTCCAGACCCTCCATGTCCCCCTCCAGACACAAGGCAGGACTACAGGCCCTGTCCTATGTGTCCTGCAGGGTGGCCCTGCAGATAGGCTGGGTGGGGACAGCTTGGCAGCCCCCAGCACATCGTTATCTGGAACCAGACACACTGCCCTGGGCCAGCATGGCTGGTGGGAGGGCTGTGGCACACGGGGGTCTCCTGTGGCACCATTCTCACCATCTCTGTAGTACCAGCCTGGGGGGACGCTTGGGCCCCCTCTGTCCTGAAGGGCACAAGGCCACAGGGCAGGGCTGCCCTCGAGTGCTCTGTGTGTGCAGAGTGGGCAGTGGGGCTGGCGGGCACTGGCTGGAATGGGGACAATCCCATGGGGCTCACCTGGTACTGGCAGGGCTGGAGGGACTCAAGGGCACTTTGCCTGTGTTGCTGCTCTACGTGCTGGGGTGCCTGTGCCACACTTAGGGGAGCACTATGGGCTCCAGGACACCTCTGGGTCACAGCAGGGACCAAAACCAGGAGGGGATGGTCCCTTGCAGCCCCCAAACCCCCCACATCCTCATGTCTGGTGCCAGGGTGACACCAGGGCTTGACCTTGTGCCGCCTCCTGCCAGGGTCTGGCCAGGCTGGGGGGAATGTGGGTGATGCTGCCCCTGTTCCCGCCACCCAGAGGGGACAGCAGGTCTGGGGGCACCTTGTGTGGCAGGGCAGGGTCCCCGATAGCTGGACGCTGCTGCTTATCGGGACCCCCACGCAGACAGTCCCAGCGGGGGGTTATCACCTCCCCACAACCGACTTCCAGGAATGCCGGCGTGTTCTGGCACAAACAACCTGGCACAGCGGCACAGCACCTGCTGCAGGATGTGACTCTGAGGGGACAGACAGGGCTGGGGGTCACAAATGACCAGGGTCATGCACGGGCAGGTGATGCTTATGGTCAGGGGGTGCAGCCACTTGGGGACACGTGGCCAGGGGACAAATATGACCGGGGTCATGCGCTATGAGGGGACTCAGCCCTCTTGGGGACACATGTGGCCAGGGGGGCATGTCCTTGGTGACACAGCTTGGGGATACTTCTCTGCAGGGGTCACATCCCCCTGGGAGGAGGGTGCACTCACACAGGGGACATGAGCTCCCAAGAAACTTGTTCTTGCAGGCTGGGGAACGCATCTTTTTTTAGGGGGACACACTGCATGGGGACATGTCCCTCAGGGGAGCATATATGGCCAGGGAACATAGCACTTTGGAGGTCACCTACCCCAGGAGGACACAGGCTCCTCACCTGGGAGTGCCTTGAACTCACATGTCCCACCACCACCATCCCAGGCCCCATCCCCCTGGACTACCACCCTGCCCTGTCCAACACAACTGTCCAGCAACTGGGAACCAGTTTGCAATTGGGAGCTCGCCATTTGGGATCCCCACAGCTGTGGGAAGGGATAATCCTGATGACCACAGGGGTCAAAGACAGGAGGGTGGGAGATTTGTGAGGGCCACCCCCATGTGCTGAATGCACAGGGGGTAACCCCCATAAGTCCCCCATTCCCAACCTGCCCATGGGCAATGCCAGGCTGGCAGGAGCTGCTTGGGGCTGTGCCCCCCCGGGCAGGAAGGGGTTAAGGGCCCTGTCCAGCTGTGCAGTGCAGATGTGAGATATGCAGATGAGGCAGAGCAGGTTTTATAAGGCGGGTGCAAACCCAGCACCCCACAAAGCCCCAGTGCCACCCCTATAGGTAGGTGCCACCACCTGGGGGGCTGCTCTCCTGCTCTGGAGGGATAGGATTTGGAATACCACAGGAGGGGTTAGGGGAAGCAATCAGGAGCCTTCATCCCATTCTGGAGCAGTGGGACTGGGGGCAGAGGTGGGATAGGGGATTGTTGAGGTCAGGAGGCTGTTGAGAGCCCCTGCTCTTCTCCAGGGTGGTGGGAACGGGGGGATAAGGAGGGTGTAGGGGGGCTGCCTGGATGGGCAAGCCACAGAGAGCCTTCATCCAGCTCTGTGGTGGTGGGATTGGGAGGGATAAAGAGGGAGCAGTGATGTGCTGGAGTAGGGAGGCCTTTGGGAGCCTCTTTGGGAGCTGTGGTGACCCCAGTGACAGGGATGGGGTGAGCGGGACAGCGGGGTGGGGATGGGGCGGGGATGGGGCAATCCTGGTGCTGTGCTCCCTAACCACGCTCTCCCCGCGCAGGCTCCGCTCCCTGCCCCCTGTGCCGCCGCCGCCGCTCCGAGCAGGATATCATCGTATACTGTAAGTTGGCTATGAGACACTACAGTATAGATGATGTACTCCCCGGGCTGCACCGACCACCCGCCCGCCAGGACACGGCGTGGGACCGCCACACCGGGGGCACCGGGGGCGGGGGGAGGCGGGGCTGGGATGCGGGACGCGGCGCTGGGAAGTGAGCGGGGTCGTGGGATGGGGCACCCGCGAGGTGTGGGAAGCTCCGGGCACCTCCAGGAATCGGCGGCCGGCGGGGAAACCGTTACCATTACTGAGTTTAGTAATGGTAACGGTTCTGCCGACGGCCGGCACGGCGCGGAACGGAACGGCACGGCGAGGACACGGAGATGGAGCACTGGGATCGGGCGCGGGACAATAAAAGGGGGTTACAGCAACCTTGGCTCTGTCTCAGCTTCTTCACCCACGTCCACCGGCGGCTCCGGGCCCGGTGGAACTGGGTCACTGGGGTGGACTGGGGAGCTCGTGGGTGCCCTGGGTCGCAGGGTGGGACAGGGAATTTTGGGTGCATTTGGGTGTAATGGGGGCACTGGGGGACCTTGGGGTGCGATGTGAGCAGGGCATCGGGGTGCAGGGCACACCGGAGTGCGTTGTGGTGTTTTGCAGGGAGCACTGGGGAGAACTGGGAGGCACTGGGGGGTGTTGGGACTGGGGAGATCTGGGGAGCGTTGGGGTGTAAGGGGAGCACTGTGAAGCCTGGGGTTGCATTGAAGGGGAAACTGGGAGCATTGGAACTCATTGAGGAACACAGAGAAGTACTCAGATACATGGTGGGGAGGGTGTTGTGGAGGGGCACTGGGCATCCTGGGGTGCACTGGGATGGACTGGGGAGGGTTGTAGGGAGAACTGGGACACACCGGGGTGTGTTGTGGAGGGGCACTGGGCTGTGTGGTGGGGATGCTGGGAGCACTGGGGGGGTCACTGGGAGCACTGGGGGGGTTACTGGGAGCACTGGAGGCACTGGGAGCGCTGGGAGCAGTGCTTGGCGGGGCCGGCAGGGGGCGCTTCCCGCTCCCGCCACCCCGCCCAGTCCGCTTCGTTCCCACAACCCCCGCGGCAGAGCGGCGCGCTGGCCCCACCCTCCCCTCATCTCTATGCTCCCGCTCTGCGCGCCAATGGGGGTGGGTTCTGTCGGGGCTCCCGGCGTGCCCCGCGGCGGGGCAATATGGCGGCTCCCATGGTCGCGGCCGCTGTCCGGGCCCTGCGCTGGGGCTGTGGGGCAGCCGCGACCGCGCCGCTCCTGCCGCGAACAGGTGCGGCGGGGCCGCGGGAGTGCTCCACGGGGCGGCCGGGGGCGTGAGGCGGCGGGCAGGAGCGAGGCGGCCGCTCCGGGGCTGGCCCAGAGGCCTCGTGGAGGCTGCGGGGTAGTTGAGCGGGGAGGAAGGGGACAGCGCGACTTTGGGGGGTTTTTGGTACGTTTTCGGTACATGCGGACTTTGCTGGTGGTGTCCTTGCAGGCTGCCTCCCGGGGAGCCGCTGGAGCGGGAACTGGGCGCTGGGAACTGGAGCAGCGCTGGGCAGGATCCTGAGCGTCCCTGCCCGCTGGAGCGGGAACAGCTCGGCGCTGGGCAGTCTCCTGGGCATCCCCACCGAGGCACCGCCCGCCCCCCTGGGCCAGCACCCGCCACCCGTGGCCACCAGCAAAGGTGAGGTGGTGCCAGTGCTGCCCCGCCGGGACAATCCCGAGCAGCCCAGGGGGGTTGGCAGCGCTCGAGCCACTCCTTTCCTCGGCAGAGGAGCAGAAGCGGCTGTTGCAGCACCGGCCCGACCAGCCCCAGAACCCCAAGGTGCTGAGGATCGCCATCATCGGCGCCCCCAACGCTGGAAAATCCACGCTCTCCAACCAGCTCCTGGGCAGGAAGGTGAGGCTGGGCTGGAGCAGGAAGTTCAGGCTCATAAATTGCTGGTTTGTTTTGGTGTTTTGGTTTTTTTTTTGTTCGTTTCTTTGGTTGGGTTTTTTTTGCCATATTCTGGCTGTGTAACGTGTTTAATTTCCTGCAGGTTTTCCCAGTCTCCAAGAAGGTTCACACAACTCGGTGCAAAGCCAGGGGGGTCATCACACATGAAGACACTCAGCTGGTGAGCTCCCAAAGCTGCTCCTGCCTGGGGCACTGGGCAGTGTGAACCAGAGAGTGCAGGGTCTCTGTCCTGTGGGATCACTCTTCGTTGCACAAATATGAGTTTCACCCTGACCTCTAACCACAGGCAAACTTACAGAATCTGTCTTTCCTCCTTCTAGATCATTCTGGACACACCTGGCCTTACTAATCCATTAAAAGTCAAAAGGTATCCCCACTGGGGTGGGGAGGGGTTGATAAAACCAGAGTGTGATTTTTCACTGTGTAAAGTTTGTAAAATAGGAGTGAGAGAAATGTGTATTTTCAGCCTTATTTTGCCTCGTTTATTGTTGCAATTTCAGTAGCACACAGAGCCTGTGACATCCCTGTTGTGTTTGGTTCTGCATATGTGACAAGGGATGTCACAGCCCCTAAAACAGCTTTGTGGCATCTGGGGTGAGGGAAAACTCTGGGTTTTTTCCCCCACTTTGAGGGGAAGGAACACAACTGTAAACAAGTGTGTCTGGTTGACTCATTTGCACGTGTCTTTCAGACATAATTTAGAGAAAGCCATGCTGACAGACCCATGGGACAGCATGAAACACGCAGATTTAGGTGGGTCCTCAGCTCCTCTTGGAACAAACCAAACCTTTTGCTGCCACACAGGTTTACAGCTGTGGTGTCTGGGTGTTTGCTGGGCAGCCCTGGGAGTGTGAGCCAGGAGGGAAGGGCAGAGAAAAGATTTGGAATGTCGAGCTGAGGAGTGGATAAGGACTGCCTGGTGCCAAGGAGGGGGCAGCTTGGGTTAATAACTGGGCTTGGATATTAAGTTTTAGCATGTGTCATGTCGTTTTGATGGCAGGTCTAAACTGCACTTTAGTGTTTTATCAATTGAAAGTCTCCTTTTTGTGCTCTCCTGTGGAAGAGAGAGAAGGAACAGGAGGAGGGGGAGTGGCCACTGACTCTAAAGCTGTAAGTGAACATTCTGGAAAAGGCAGGTTCATCCTCTTTTCCTCCCTCTCTCCTGGCAGTTCTGGTTTTGGTGGACGTGTCGGATCACTGGACAAGGAACGCTCTGAGCAAGGAGGTGCTGAAGTGTCTGTCACAGTTTCCCCACATCCCCAGTGTCCTGGTCCTGAACAAGGTAAATCCTGCTCCTTCTTCCTGCCTTCTTCAGATACCACCTGATAACATCAGCCATGGCTTTTTGGGTCCCTGGAGTGTTAAAGGACACTGGTTTACCTCTCTACTCCAGCACATTGCAGTGTGTGTGTGTGTGTGCGCACATGTGGCATGCACTGGTGCTGTGCTGCAACCTGTGGGGTTTAAATCCACTTGGGAAGAGGAGCTGGAGTGGGGTTGGCCAGAGAAAATCTCAGCAGAGCTGACAGGTTCTCAGTGTTTGGCCAAAGTGTGCTGGCACTGGTGACACACTCCAGCAACTGCTTCCCTGAGTGGCTTATTCTGGCTCCTTTAGATCCAGGGCCCAGCTGCTCACCTCATTTAGGACAAATCCTGACACCTTTCTCTGACTTTTAGGTGGACATCCTGAAGAAGAAGTATCTCCTGCTGGATATAGTAACTGACCTAACAGAGGGAATTGTAAATGGAAAGAAACTGGAAGTGAAATCTGCATTTAAAAGTGATTCCAGTTCTTCAGCCAAGCCTCCTCTTCAAATCACTCAGGCTTCTCCTGCTGGGAACAGGGCCCCAGGGTCTCCCTGTTGGCAGGAAAGGGATGCCAAATCCAACCCTGTCACAGAGGAAGCCCA